TGTCTGTCTTCCTGTCTGTATGTCTGTCTGCCCGTCTGTCTGTCTTCCTGTCTGTCTGCCCGTCTGTCTGTCTGTCTGTCTGTCTGTATGTCTTCCTGTCTGTCTGTCTGTTTTTTGTCAAACATCTGCTTTACTTCAAATCTTCAACAGTTTGTAATTGAATTCAAATAAACGCCTTTACTTTACTTTTTTTCAGTAACACGTAATCTAACTAATTACTTTATCTATCGTTATAACCTGCCCCATATATATATATATATATATATATATATATATATATATATATATATATATATGTGAATGCTTTTTAAAACACACACCATATATATATATATATATATATATATATATATATATATATATATATATATATGTGTGTGTGTGTGTGCGTGTGCATACGGTATTTTTAAATTCATTCATACACTTCCAAATATATATACTTTTTTTTTTTTTTTTTCGGTTCACTTCGGTTCACTCGGGTCATTTATAAAAACAGTGTGAATGAATTCACTGCAGTTCTCTCTGGACCACATCACGTTTCAAGCCTCGGCCGACAAGGAACAGAAACTGAGGCACGTGTGTGTGTGTGTGTCTAACCAGTTGGACCTGACAACATGTCCTCACGCTCGAATTGATTTAAAATCACAACGGTAGCGTTACATAGTGGCTGTGGTCCTAAGGTCACAACAAACTTAGCTGTGCACTGGTAGATCGGTGGTGTTCACCACACTGGAAACCACATCACCTTTTGACCTGACCTGGAGTGTGTTAAAGGTGTGCAAACTAGCGTTTGTCAGTGGATAAGAACACATTTTAAAAGCACAAACTCACCAGGTTAAAGTCCTGAAACGTATCCATTTCCCCCGTTTTCCCCCTCAGTGAACAGTTTTGCAGATTAGAGGTTACCTCTCTGGGCTTCACTGACACCAGTGACAATGAGCGCAGCGGCAAAATAGCAAAAAGGGAAGTACACACAGAGACGACTCTCTCACGCCTCCCCAGTGCTTGTCTGTCTGCAAGTCTAAGGCAGCTCGTCATTCAGTGTCTTGCTGTATGAAATGTAACGATTTTTAGCTTTGCTTTATGTCCTGACATCAGTGAAACTGTTTGGTGATTTTTTGCTTTTGCATTGATTTATTGGAATTGGTATTTGTTGTATTGAGCCTTTAGTTATGTGACGTCGTCATTGTTGACGCATTGTTGACGAATTCGTGGAAACATGTCATCGTCATCACCTTTATATTGATTTATATCTTCCCTTTTATTCACTTTCATGGGTTGATTTTTTTTTTTTTTTTTCTTTCTTCTTTTTGAGCAACTGTGGCTAGGGCTACGTTAGTAATTGATAGCAAATAATGATGGAGGAAACAATTTCATTTACCTACTTTGGTTGACTGATGTTTTGTTTAAAATCCTTTTCAGTCACGCTTACTCTGCAGGAAATCGAACCCAGAGTCAAATATTTTATGTGGTAGTGAATGTGCGTGTACACGTGTCGGTCATCGCTCTGTTAGATGTTACTTCTGACCTGTTCATGATCATTTTAATATCTTGTAAGGTCATTTTCGCAGTATATATATATATATTTACATTTTTTACATTTTAATATCCTCTAAGGTCATTTTCGCAGTATATATATATATATTTACATTTTTTACATTTTAATATCCTCTAAGGTCATTTTCGCAGTATATATATATATATTTACATTTTTTACATTTTAATATCCTCTAAGGTCATTTTCGCAGTATATATATATATATTTACATTTTTTACATTTTAATATCCTCTAAGGTCATTTTCGCAGTATATATATATATATTTACATTTTTTACATTTTAATATCCTCTAAGGTCATTTTCGCAGTATATATATATATATTTACATTTTTTACATTTTAATATCCTCTAAGGTCATTTTCGCAGTATATATATATATATTTACATTTTTTACATTTTAATATCCTCTAAGGTCATTTTCGCAGTATATATATATATATTTACATTTTTTACATTTTAATATCCTCTAAGGTCATTTTCGCAGTATATATATATATATATTTACATTTTTTACATTTTAATATCTTCTCTATATATACATTATTATTTATATATATATTTTTTTTTACATGTCGACTCTGATACATGATCTTTTACGAATGGCTCTTGCGTTCGCACACAGGAAAACCACAACACCTGCGTACGTACTAACACCAGTGGTAGGTGTTAATAAGTTTCCACAGTACAGTTCTGTTCCTGTTTTTTTTCACACCTTTTTTCCCTTGTTTTCTAGTTTTGCAAGACTTCTTCTGCAAAGAACACCAAACTTGCACGATGCATCCATGCCAATAATCTTGAAAAATCGGTTCAAAAAAAAAGGAGGTTTAACAGTGAGCCTTGTTTTAAAGCATAGCAGTGAAACCATGGCAACATTTCAATTGGGGAACTGAAAGCAGAAAAAAAAGAAATAGATATATATATAATTTCGTTTCCAAAAGCATGCATTCGCGGTCTATTTGTTGGTTATAATGCATAATGTCCAAACAGCAACCAATGTTTTGAAAACAATGTTTTGTGATCACAGATAAAAAAAAAAGACATTTACATTTTGTGCAGACGGAAATCAGAAGGGTCTGTTTCTTCATTACGCCACCTGTCTACTCTGCTTCCTTATGGTTTTACGGAGGGTAGTCATAGCAGATTACCAGATAAAAATACACAAATGCTGATTGCCATCGTACACTTGTTTTACTCTGTACCCTGAAGTATGTGAACGTATTCCTGGAAACAAAAGATGTATGTTTATATATATGTATATATATATTTATATATATATTTATATATATATTTATGTTTAAATGTATCCTTCAAACATGAATTACATTATTTCAAATCTTCAATTCCGTTTCTTTACATCAATAATTATTTATTTAACCCCGCCTTCCCCCCCTTCAGTACTTAAACAGTGCCCACATAAAGCTCGAAATGATGCTTTGGTTATAAACCACCAGGGAGTAATCTCTGACAAACCGCAATCATGCAGTGAATTTCCTGGCAACCTTTAGTTTGCTCATTTCCCTGCTAATTTTGTCTTTTGTCTTCACGGTTTAGCAGCTTTAAAGGGGTTTTTTTTTGTTTGTTTTTTTAAAAAAAAAGTGTTTTTAAAAAATATATATACCGGTGTATATATATATTTTTTAAAAATCCTTTTTGTTTGATTTTATTTAACATTATATGAATATGTTTAACGCGAAACAATTATGCAATCCCTTTGTAGAATTAGCAAGGCGCCTAAAAAGAGTGAAAAATGCCTTTGTAATCATACTTTTTTTTTTTCAATAAAATTCACACAACCGGGCTTTGAATTCACCAAATATTTAGTCAACATTTGAAAAATCGCTACACAGCGATGCACAAACTCTTTGTCTTTAGTCATTTTTTTTAATCTTAAAATGACAAAGATCTTTTTGAGTGTTTTCGTCAAACATGTTTGGTCAGAAAGGAGCAAAAAAAAAAAAAAAGAAAAAAGTAGAGCATAATAATATTGGAGAGGCTGAAATGTGATGAGTCGGTTTAATTTGATTATCAGTCGCAGACACTGAATTTCAACCAAAAATAATGACGTCACTCAATTAATTGTATATTCATATTTAATTTATACCCAATTTAATTACTTAACCCTGTAACGCCAAACGTTGAGTTTTACAGCCCTCCACATAAGTAGTGTGATTTTTTGTATACAATCAGAAACATGCAGTGCACAGATAATTCTATAGAGGAAAAAAAAACTTTTTGATTTTGATGTCGGAAAGTACATTTTTTGACCAAGACTATATTTTGTTTAGTACTTATACTAGTGTACATAAAACCGAACGACTTACATTTGATTAAATTGTAGTTTCTCGGGCAAAATGTGATGCATGTGATGCTAATTTCAAACCACTATGCTAACACAGCTAGCTAAGCAATGGCTGACAGGGGATGGGGTTACAAAAGTGTTACGACCATCCCCTTACATACAACTAAGAACACTTTCTTCATTTTAATACATTTGACATAATACCTAGGCGGTGGACAGGAAAGACTGACAGAGGTGTGCCTGAAAATGTTTTTTTTTTTTAAAACAAAGCACACGAGTGACATAATACCTAGGCGGTGGACAGGATGTTTTTTTTTTAAAACAAAGCACACGATATCTGCCACAGATATTTCACTGAGCAGAAGCTGAGAGACCAGGGGCTCCAGTGATCTTCCCAGTATCGGTTACTGAAGCAGCGACAAAGTTTTCTCTGAGGTGCAGGAGGAAGCGTTGGCTGACTATTTGACTCAGGCAGCCTCAGACTCAGACCTGTATTATGGACTGACTAGTTAGTCACTGGAGACCAGAGAAGAACTGAATACTAGCGTAGGTGCCGGATAAATGGAAAAACGTTTTGTGTCAGGTTTTCTATTCCACTTTCTTTTAGGTTAGACATTTTGCATATCAACCGTAACGGCAGCAATATATAACATCAAACACCCGCAAACGTCGGATGAGAAGCAGTTGGCAGAGCGTGACTAGTTCACACTTTTTATAAAGCGGACCCCCCTTTTTTTTGTCCTGAAGCAAAAAGTATTACAACCGTACCCCGGTCTCCCCTGTATAAGGTCATGTAACATGTGTAATGTAAATTAGTCAACTGTCATTTTATTGCATTTCGTGCATTATATATAACATCTTTTATTTTTAAATTACATAATTTGGTACATTTAGAGTAAAAAAAATAGACATGTAACTCGCTGTATCATATTATATATTAATATCTTATTATATATTATAATATATATTAGATTTATTATATATATATATATATATATATATATATATATTATACATATAAGGTGAAGGGAAAAGTTTACGGTGGTGAGACCAGCAGAAGACAGGAGGCGGAGCTGGAGGTGGCGTGGAGTTAAAGATGCTAAGATTCTCTCTAGGAGGGACAAGAATGGACAGGATCAGGAATGAGGTCATTAGAGGGACAAGACAGACAGGAAGGTTTGGAGAAAAGAGCTAGAGAAGCCAGATTGAGATGAGTTTGGACATGTGCAGAGGAGGGACAGTGGATACATTGGTGGAAGAATGTTAGAGATGGAGCTACAAAGAGGAGATATATGGATGCAGTGAGGGAGGACATGCAGATAGTTGGAGTCAGAGGAGAAGACGCAGAGAACAGGGAGAGATGGAAATCAATGATTCGCTGTGGCAACCCCTGGAAAAAAAAAAGGGACAAAGCCGAAAGAAAAAGAAGAAATAATTTATATACACATATATAATATATATAAAAATATAATATAAATATATATATTATTATGAATATAAATGTATATAATATATACGTGTAACTCTGAATCAGTCGATTGTCATTGTATTGTATTTCTTGCGGTATCATATTATGTATTAATACATCATTATATATATATATAAATATATTAGATATGTATATATTTAGAATTACAAATTTGTTGGTTGTTGGTTTGTTGGTGTTTTATTATGTTTTTGTTTATTTGGAAAAAAATAATCTTTGAGAATTATGACCCACTGTATTAAATATGATACAAAATGAACCTCATATATGGAAAATTATATTTTAAATTTTTTTGTTTGTTTGTTTAGAGGGACAAATAAAGTTCAAAGAATTGGAATTTTCAATCAGTTATTTATTTCAGTCAATTATTTAATGGTTTGGGCTTTACAGGGTTAAAAACTTGCACCCAGACCTGGCCCTGAGCATATATCACAATTAATAAATTGGGAAATTAATTTTAAGTTTAAGAGTTTGTATCTATATTTTGAGATTTCCTAATATTATCAGGGTAATATCTCATTCTAAACCGTTAAAAAAGAAAAAAGAAAAAAAACATACTTGTATTTAAGTAGTATCCAAACATCATTTATTTGAAGTAGTAAGATCGGCATCTTAGTCTACTTTAGTGGTTCTCAATTATTTTCTGTCATCCCCCCCTTGTGGACAAATGTTTTAACGCCCCCCTCCAACATCTCCCCGCCCTCCGACCCACTTAAATAAATTGAAATACTATTACATCACATGTATATTCTTATCTGTACAAACCACACGGCGCCCCCAGGGGTGCCCGCCCCACTATTTGAGAAGTACTGGTCTACTTTGACCAAAAGCTTTACTTTTGTGGAAATAAACGAGCTGTGCTAACAAGTGCCGCCAGGAGGCAGTGATCAGCACTCGAAACTTTAGGTTTCACTGTCATCAAAACCCGGAAAAGGAGGAACGAGACAGGACTTCGCTTCTTTTAAACGATTTTTCCTACTTAAATTGAACAATTGTATTCACTTTTGCTGCGAAACGAACAAGCTGACACGTCCACACACAACCCCGAAACAGTTGTGTGTGTTTTTTCCCTGAAAATATTTGTTTATTTTGGTATTATCTAAAACGAAAATTAAACGCTTCTCGGGGCCCGACGAGTTGTAACTCCAACATGGACGTGGACATGGAAGCAGGAGAGGAAATGCCGGAGGAGCCTCTACAGCAGGAGCTTAGTTGCCCCGTGTGTACCCGTCTCTACGAGGACCCCTGCCTGCTGCCGTGCACCCACAGCCTCTGCCGGGAG